GGATTATTGGCAAGCCGAAATACTGTTTGGAACTTGAGGAGAATTCGTAAGATTACTATATCTTAGCAAAAAAAAACCGCCGTAGAAGACTCGGAAAAGTTTCATTCTGTAGAGAATAGTTTTCTCGATTGTTTCGTGTAGTCTGAGCATTAACATATTTACGTATGGTTGGCACTGAAAAATAATTTTGGTAACCACTGCACTTATATTTGTATTTTAGTTGGCCTGGTCCACTTTCTCTTTTATCCTGTGCTTCTTGGTCATCAAGTTCAACAGTGTTTTGTGATGGTGTACTTTCACGTACTATTCCATGGTCTCTTTTAAAACAACAATTCTATGAAAATAAAGCATATCAAACATTTTACGATTATTTACGTGAACGAAATAGATCAACAGATTCAAATATGACTATTCTTGATCCTGTTAAGGATATGATGCGTCTTCTTATGGATGAATTTACATCGTTGCATAATTATTCGCGTCCAATTCAGTCAAATATATCTAATGCGATGTTTATTGCTTGTACATATGATGGATATGTATTACGTGATGGTATTCCACATATGAATGATGTATGGCCTGGCGTCCATATTCGATATATTCCTCATGGACATGTTAGTGCATTTTTATTTAATCAATCAGGTTTTCATCATGCTGTTGCTGAGATGTTACAGCGGCAACAGCCAAATGTAAAACTAAAAAAAAATCCAATTATATCATCAATCTCTGTCAGTACACCTGAAAGTTCGTGAAAATAGGTTTTTTTATAGATTTTCTCGAAAAGTATCAGCTATTACCTTATTTTTGTGTTTTGCTTTTGAATGTGTTATTGTTTGAATGATAATTCAGAAAACAAGAAGCTATTGATCGAATATAAACTGGGTAATATATTGATTGTTTTGTATCTTAAATATAATTTATCTTGTATGAGTGCTAGGAAAAGATTTCATTGTCGACATTAGTTCAAAACATAATTTTGAAAAGAATTATTAAAACGTATTCTTTAATATTTATGTCTTAACATGATCATTCATATGTCTAGCATAGACTCCACGATACATTAATTAGAATCATGTTGATAATAGTTTTCATGATAAAGATGTTATATCTATTCTTCATGAGAGAGCCTCTCCAACTAGTATCCTCTGTTAGGTGTGGGTGTTAGAAAAGTACACTCACATACGCATCCATCTACGTCCACATCTATTCATCCCTTTTGCACTTGTGGTGTGCGTGATACTGATTGCTTTTTAGTCGGCTGATTCCAGTGTTTGTTTTAATAGATAGCAAATTTTTATTTTTCTTGCATTCTACACATAATTGTAGACAGAAAGATATACCATTGTATTGCAACTTTTCTGACTCAGAATAGTATGTGAACTTGAACAGATAGACAGAACTAAATGACAACTTGCAACTAGTTGATAGAAAGGTTTGTCTTAGTTATGCTGAATTTTCGGTTGTTAGGTGTCATTCAAATTATCGCATTTAAACGGGTGGGTATGTGGAGTTGATGTATGAACAATATATAAAGCTATGTAAAAAAAACTTATAATTGGTTGTTTTGAAATTCGATAAAAATTATTTATAATAAAAGCTTTGGTAGTCGTTAAGTATAAGACACCTAGTTGTGTGGATGTGACTGAGCAAAAGATCCTCATCCATTCACATGCCAACTCACGTTCTGTTCTATCATTTTTCAGTAGAGGAGCAAGTGAATCGACCTCCAATGAACTATCAATTTTGTCTTGATCATGATAAGACATTTATAGCAATGTATCATACAAATATTTCTCTTTCCTAATCACTCAGCTTGTTGATAGTAACCAGCTGTCACAAGCGTAGATGAGACATGCTATCTCGCTTGACATTGTTAACGTAGTGAAAAGTCATTTTGCTAACGTAAGAAATGGGATGAGATCCACTGACGAATCATTCCGTGTTTGAATGAAATATTCTTTCGTATAAATTGCAGGCATGGTTGACATAAATACACCTGGAGAAAAAATTACACCACCATCTCCAGAGAAGCATGACTATCCTGGCACCCATGGATTGTCCTACATATACCCAATCGACAACAACAGTCGATGATTAAACAGTTGAAGATAGGATAGAAGAGCAGATACATTAATTCATGTATCGTCATGTGCAAACACAAACCATTTTACCTTCTTAATCAATTCAGACTTATTGCTAATTATCCATTGTAACCCTAACAATTGTCGATGTTGTGCATCTTCTCTGGAAGGTTTGTTTTCAAGTTGGAGCAAAGTTGTCAAAGGAATACTGGCGTTAGCAGCATCAGCAAATATGAAAAAGTTTTCCTTGGGACCATTGTAACCATGTTTCTGTGAGAAGCTTAGCCTTATGAATATATTTTACACTACCCATTATAATAAATAAGACATCTTTAGGATCCAATGTTGCTGATAAAAGTGGTTCACTGCCTGTAAGACATCTAAGTTTTCCAGCAGGTTCAGTATCAGGAAACTGGTCTCGAATCATTCGAAAATATTCAAAGTTATTTAAATAGTACCAATTGCTGTGATTTTTGGCTCGACTTTGCAATATTTCATTCAATTTGAGGTCTTCTATTGATGTATCTCTATGTGTTGAATTGAGTTTTATCAAGAAATCTAAGTAATACTTTTCTTGAGATCTACTAATGACAATAATGACAATAATAATTAGGATGATTGTACAGAGGAAAATATAAAGGACACAGAGTCTAGAAAGTGTTCGATAAGGATTCTGACATATTTGATCGAGGGCGTGCTTTAATCCATTCGATTGAGATTTCATGATAACTATTTCGAGTACTAAAAGATTTCTGATGATATTGAAGAGTGCATATAAATATCTGAACAATAAAAGAACTCACAGAATAGCAGCTAGATACCAAGAATAACAATCAATAATTTATATTTTTCCTAATTGACAATCACTCACTATTTCATGAGTGAAAGCAAAGCAAAAGACTTTGTCAACGTCATAATTATTTGGAATGGATCGGTTGAGATCGCGTCAGATGATGTGAGTTTTGCCTCATGTAACATCTTGTGGTGTAGTTCTGAGGAAAAGACATCCCACCGTAATGTACATTTAAGGATCTGGCAGACTTTAAATGTTGGATTTTTTTCTAATTGATGAGAAAAATGTATAATAATCCATAGAGCGCATCAAGTTAAGTGGAATGGAAAAGATTTCACATGTGACACAAGTTTTACAAAGAATCGTCAGATGAAACACCCCAAAGAACCCTTTTTTTCATAAGTTTTAGATATCTGAAGATCTTATGAGTTTATTGAACACAATGTTATAAACACCATCAGTTAGAACGTGTCGAGCTGCGTCATTTGATGCCAATTTTGAAAGTTGCACGGATTCTTAATCGAATATTTCTAGGGAATAGAGATTTTTTTCATTTTTTGCTATGGTGAAAAATAGTATTTTTATTTGTTTTGTTGTTTTTGATCTTTTCTTAAAATCTAAATAATTGAATCAAAAGAGTTCGTCCATCTTTATCTGGCACACTCGATTGGGTGAATTGTTCTGAAAAAACTCAAATCAATCGATACCTTCATTTTCATTGAAAAATATGGTTCTATCTCGAACTTTCTTTTGCTTCTGTCGAAAAAACATTTTGCTCTGGTAAAAGCAACTCATCTAAAATACATAGCCTAGTACTGCTGATTAACTCTATCTTCAACCCATTATTTCTATTCCTGATGCTTTAACCTTTTCCTGTATTTCTTATTCTACATCTAACCCTTATTCCTTTATCTTATGGTGTATTCCCATATATGGCCTCTCATGCCTACTCTAAATCATTATTTGCATCTCACTCATTATTCGTATGTCTAACTTGAGGGTATGGATGTGGATTTACGTGTGCTGAACAGAATATCCACACTTCACACGCACACCCCAAAATGATAATGATGATAAACTCAAATTCGTTGTTGTTTTTGTATGATCGACGTGTTAACATGTTTAAGAATGAAACTATGAATATACAAATTATTTCACTATTGAAAACTTCAACGGGAAAAAAGAAAAAATGCTGTACTTCAACGTACTTCCTGTACTTCCAGACTAAGCCATAACTGTGCGTCAGATCTGTTTAGTTATTTCAAGTCTCTTATCGAACTGTGTTACGGTATATTAGTTGGAGTACAGCTTACCTAAGTCATCCTCACTCTAAAGCTCAAATACTTCATTGTACTTCCAAAGTGAGAGTACGACGAAGTATTTGAGTTTTATATTTTCAGGTAGATCTGCACAGGCTGGACTCCGGCTAATATATCGTAACGCAGGTCGATAGGACACTTGAGATAGCTAAACAGATCTGATGCACAGTTATGACATAGTCTGGAAGTACAGAAAGTACGCTGAAGTACGATATTTTCGCTTTTCCTCCTTGGAAAACTTCCATTTATTCTATAAGAAAGAACTTAAACTAAAAGTTAACATTTCAAAATTAACCTGGATACATTCTTGTGAAAATATGTAATTGTAAATAAGAATTTTCATAATCAATTTTTAATATTTTTACATGTGATTATATTTTATCGACTAAGTTAGAGCCATAAAAGTGAAATATGAATGATGTTTCACGAAAATGAACATTATTATAACAATATTCTTCTAATAGATGTATGTGCCGCTGATATTCAATGAATTGAGATATTCTAATTGTTTCAACATGGTCGAAGATCATTGAGAAAACAATTCAAGGAACTTTGGGTTGATAATAATTCAATAGTGGTCATCATTACATTCAATTAACGATTATCTTCTAAATAATAAATATTCATATTGACAGATGTAGGTGTTGGTGTGAATAAAGATATTGATGTGAATGTGAGTGTGGTTGAATACAAGACAAACACCCACACCAACACCAACTCTACATCCTAAAAGATGCTATATCATTTCATAGAAAAAAAACGTGAAAATTTGCTTTAACAACCGATAATTCTGATTCTTGTTCAGTTATGGCACATGTTGATCGTTTAGCTTTACTTAATGATTCAAGACTTATTAATAAAATTTTTATTGGACGTGCTGATTTAGTTAGTAATAAAGTTGACGGATATTTAGAAGGTTAATTACGTTATGAAGAAGGAAAATATATTCGTAGAGATATAAAAAAAAAAGAAACAAGAGCTCACGTCACGGTTGAAGTATACTATTTTCTTATTACATTTCTGCAGGATAAAAGAAGGACTAATAAAATATTTATCCATATTGATGCTAAAAAATGTTAGATGCTTGCAAAATTCCTTTTCTTAGTCAAAAGTTGCTTGACCAGGCACGAAATACCCATAAATGCTCGATCTTTTTTGAAAATTTCATTATTGAAAATCAACTTTATGAATCTTTTTTGAAAATAGGTATTGTCTTTCGTTATCATGATCATGATGCTCGAATAATTCATAAAGCTCTTGTAAAACACCTTGACGATAATCTTTTTGGTAAACATCCTGATTCATGTGTACAAGAACAATTAAAACAAGTTCATCTCTGAAAAATTTAATGTTCATTGTACCACATTTTATTTTGCTGTACGTCTTTTAACATCACTTACATGTTTATCAGTTATGCCATCAACTGATGATAAAGTATTTGAATTATTGGAACAAAATTTATATAAAATTTCGAAAGTTATTCATGAAGATACCATTGAAAAGGGTGTGGATGTGAGTGTGGGGTGCGGGGTGTGGGTGTGTGGGTGTGGGTGGGTGTGGGTGTGGGTGTGGGTGTGGGTGTGGGTGTGGGTGTGGGTTCATTTAATCACACCAACACCCACACCCCATACCCTCAGGCACATCCACACCCACACCACCCATACCCACACACCCACACCCACACTCACACCCCACACCCACTCCCATACCCACATACCCACCCACACCCACCCACCCACACCCACATCCACACCCACATCCCACACCCCACACCCTACTCGGGGTTAATCCGATGAAAATCAGTTCATCCGATTTTGATCAATTCGGGTTGCAATCGATTAAAATATTTAAATTGATTACGGATTAAAATTCGTTTTTTCTTGCCCTAATCCGGAATAATCGATTAGATCGATTGTTTTTTCAATGGATTTGCCGATTTTAATCAATTTTAATCCGATTTTGTATAGAATATTGAATTTTTCGTCGAAATTGGTGGTTTTTACACACTTAATCAAAAAATAATCAGGATTTTGCTACATATTTTTTCACTGGGCCACACCCACACTGACACCCACACCGACACCCACACCTACACCCTTCGTTTCTAGAAAAGAAGTTCGACGAACTTAGAGAGGATATTTCATTGAAACGCATAACATAACGCTGTTGTTATTCGAAAGCCAACTATAACAGCATTCAGTCTCGCAGTGAATAGGGCAGCGAACAATATTGACTCACAATAAATGTTTGTCTTTCATATAGTTTTGTACATTAAAAATACAAGGCAACTGAATTTTCTCTTCAGTCATTTCTCTTTACTCTTTCTTCCAATCGAATGTTGATGCAAAAGAACAGAAATTTTTATGTGTTATGGAATTCTTTTCTGAACAAGCAAAAATATAAGAAAAAAAACAAATAAAGCGGGCGGGTAACTCTCTGCATGCTGCAAACGAATGTTGTGAGTCACTTGGTCGTTTTTGATTTTGTTGACAACACCATCTCAAAGTGGGTATGCGTGTGGCTGTGGATGTGGGGTGTGAGTATGGGTGTGGGTCTGTATCGGTGTGAACATGCATGGGTTTTGCTGTTGGTGTTTTGTTCGAACAAATCCACACGAACACCCACACCTCCACGCACACCATGAATTTGGCAACGTTTACGGACATGGAAGCGTTCTTTAACGGAATAGTCATCGACTAAACCGCAGCGATGCAGTTTTCCTTGGGCGTTTACTAGTCTGACTCGGACACGCACCGTACTCCGATTCTGATTTACTAATTTAAGAGTCTCTGGAACTGTTGAAAATAAAAATTTTGTGAACATGGACATTTTATCAATAGGCATTTGGAAAGTTTTAACAGTCGTTATAAAATATATAGTAAAGGGAAATAAATGGAAGGAGACGAAAATTCAGCCGATAGCGCTTCATACGACTGATTCATTAATTGCTAAAAATGATATTGATGCCATCTTAGTTTGCTACAAAGCGATTCATGCAATTATGCATAGAGTTGATGGTTCTTGTCGTTTTACTTTGACAGGAGCATTCGGGTCCAGTGAACCTCTGCCATCACATCGGTAGCGAGGTCGATCACTTCATCCCGAATAACCACACCAGCTACAATATTTGTCGCTCGGACGCTGGCACTGTGTACATGCTTCAGCTCCAGTCCCACGACACGCAGGACATTCTTTATTTCCCATACTAACACTAAAATAAACATAAAATGAGCAAAATGATTTGTTCAGCATAGTCAACAAGTAATATTATGGAGACTCAACCATAGATGAAAATTATTTTTTTGGTGCAGCTCAATAAATTTCTACAGAATGGTTTATAATTTAATTACCAGAAGTCAAAGGAGAATATTGAAAGATGTCTGACAATGTTCAATAATGACATTTCTGCAAATTAGGTCTTCAATAATTCGCTCACCAGACTACTTTATTAAGAAAACTAATACACGTGGATGCTATTTGACGGTCTTTATTGAATCCTATAACTTTCGTCAAATACATAGTCTAATGTGCAAATTCTTAAAGACCTTATCCGTCACAACTCCAATTTTTTTAGTGCTCTCACTACTAATGGCGTCAATTTTTTAAGTTAAATTATAGACCATTTGATAGAACTCATTGAACTGCATCTAACGCGTGCACTTCAAAGGTGTCTTAGTCTCCTTGAAGAATCTCTATGTGTTGAACGAATTTTTAATGTTTTATTGTTAGCAGAAAACAAAGTGTTAGTGATTTGTGCGAATTGTAAGCTTTGGTCGGATAAAAATTTTGTACTAGACAGTACGCTGAACTGTGTATGACTTTTTTCTCTGGTGAATAGTCAGTGATGAATGTTGACTCGCGAACTAGCTCGCCTTGCATAGAAATGTTACATTACTGACGATAAATTTCACTAGATTTTCTTTCAACAAACAGCGCTCGTGCCTTTCCATCTCTATGATTTGATAAAAAACAACGTCAAACTGTGGGTGTGGGTGTATGTGTGAGTGTTGGTGTGGATTTGTTCGAACGAAACATCAACAGCCAAACGCACGCATATTCACACCGATACAGACCCACGCCCATACTCACACTCCACATCCACAGCCACACGCATACCCACTTTGAGATGGTGTTGTCAACAAAATCAAAAACGAACAAGTGACTCACAACATTCGTTTGCAGCATGCAGAGAGTTACCCGCCCGCATTATTTGTTTTTTTTCTTATATTTTTGCTTGTTCAGAAAAGAATTCCATAACATATAAAACTTTCTGTTCTTTTGCATCATCATTCGATCGGAAGAACGAGCAAAGAGAAATGACCGAAGAGAAAATTCAGTTGCTTGCTATTTTTAATGGGTGTGGGTTGGTGTGGGGGTGGCTGTGGATAGGTGAGGAT